CATCACGATCATTCACAAATAGGATTTCTCGAACAAAACAAAGAAACCGACATTCTCGTTAAATAGCTCGAATTGGCAATCGAACATTTTAGCGGAGGCGTGTTTTAATGTTAAACTCCACCGTGCAAAGGTCGATTTCGGACTTTTCTCCAGACCAAGAAACCGCAAATGTGCCTCGCCGATAAAATACGACAACTTAATATGGATATTATACATAATTAAATAGACCATTGTCCTTAAAATTTGATCCCGAGGGTACAACTTTTGACACAATCTAATTTACATATTCCGGTTTTGCCTACGCTTTGAATATTTCCATTTTAATACGGAAAGTAATGTGGTACGTAAATAAACAAGAAACAAATGATTTTTCAAAGGATCAACACTTTATTTTCTAGAGCATATGGGTTACGACGTATTAATATTCCAAAATTTTGAAAGAGCCAAGCCGAGGAACAAACTTAATCTGCATTAATCCGACGTATGGCCTAATTACTTTAAGTTGTACGGAGCTGGACCGGAAAAATGTTTATTTTTCCGTAAAACGCCAACGTCGATCGAAAAACTATTGAATATAATTTGTCGGGATCAGCAGTTGTTGTTGACGTTATTGTTATACGAACATAACGAGTGTAAAAAACAAAAAGAAAAATAATTGCAACATCGCCGAGCAGTGCCAGCTGTGTAGCCGCCCCGGGGCAAATTAAAATATGCCGCATTTAAGAAAATAACAATTCAAATTTATATACACCACACTATTAATTGTTCTGAGCAAATTATCGGTTTATTCTAGTCTTTCTTTTGCCGCCTTTTTGTACCCTGCACCGTTCCAATTCGTTCGTGTGACATTATTGGCAAAAAAATATTGTTACCCATTTCATATTAATGCAGGTAACACTCATTACAATCGTTATTATCGAAATAATATTTTGATTGTCAAACTGAAAATATGTTTACGCATCTAACGGTGCAATGTGCCGACTGCCGAAATAAAATACGATAACGATTTACTTGTAACCGACTATTTTCGAGTAAAAAAGGGAAGAGAATAACGAAAATAGTGTGTACGATAACAGTACAGTTAGAACAAGTTCTTAATTCTTATCACTAGAGAGCGGATCTTTAGGTTTTTATATATTTTTATTGGCTATATGCAGATTTACAAGGATAAAAAATGTGAACGATTTATCCATTATAGAGTTCATAGGAAAACATTTATTTTGCATATTTTAGCATATTTTGGACATTAGAGAATATTTAACCTAATTTTTATACTTTTGAATATATTCAATTATTGTTCACAAAAAAGCATATTTTATTAATTTCTCGAGTTGTGATTTTTCTAGGAAAAAAAATTTGATTGTTATATTTATATTCCTATGCATGGAACTGTTATCCATTTTTTCCATTTAAATAATTTATCTTTTATCGAGGAATGGTGCATACAAGTTGTTCATTGTTTTTATTTAACTATTTTGTTTTTTATATATAATTTTATTATATATACACTCTTATGTATGAACTGTTTTAAATTTTTATATTTAAATAATTTACCTGTTACCAAAGGAATGGCCCATAACAGTAATTTAATGTTTTTATTGAACTATTTAAGAAAAAAAAATCATATTATCGCATATTTACAAATTTAAGGAATATTTAGAGAATATTTTAGAGTTTTTTTAGAACATATTATCTGTATATTTACAAGTATATTTACAAGGAATATTTAGAGATTATTTTAAGGTTTTTCTAGAGTATATTAACATCATATTTTAAGCTTTTAAGAACCTAAAAATCCGCTCTTTACTTATCACCTCGTAACAGGCAGTGGACTACAGCTTTTTCATGGTATTAATGAGCGAAATAATATGTATTATACCAATAAGTTACACATTCGTACAAGAAAAATTATAATTATATATTCTCAAAAATTTTCCGCCTCGGAGCAATTGCCCCCCATTAAACGCTGCTCTGGTGCCGAGGATCGACGTGGTTATGGATCGCGATGATCGACCGTTTGGCCACCCATTGATGCATGCACATCACACACATCACATCACAGGGGCATATTTAGACTTCCTTCTAGGGGAGGGGGACTCAGATTTTTTCTTCAATTCAAATTCAAAATTTACAAGTTAAATTTTTGGTAATATTTAAATCAGACGAATCCTTAATAATATGTAGGTTTTTTTTTTAATCTAATGCCGGATCCACTTAGAATCGACTTTTATCTAGTTCTTTCCTTGAGTCTATGTTTTGAAAGTTACGCTTGTGTTTTATTTGATTTTTCACTAAGTATGGGACCCGACAAGAGCCCAATTCACTATTCACAGCAACGTGTAATTTGATTTCGTTATACAATTATTCACATTAAAAAAAATTTGAAATGTGTATCTCACGTATAATCAATTCCTTAAATACGGATTCAGGGGGGGTCGCCCCTTCGCCTTCCCCCTAAAATACGCCATGTCACACCGAACGTACCCAACGTACACTTAAATCGTTATGCGCTTTCCGAGTGACGTTTCCGAGTGGGATCGGTGCCAGAAGACCACACTCGTATGTATTACAGCCATCGAGCCCCGTCGCCGGGGCCGACAAAAGATATTGGTTTCGGGGGAATATATAATATTCCGGATATGGGCTCCGCGCGAATCGCACACCCCCGGCTCCGGAGAGCCAGTCGATTTATCCGCACGCCCGCGCACGCGCACATATTTAGCGATGGTCTGTGCACGGGCAGTCTTACGACCCCCGGGCCGACGTCGATTCTTCTCGGTTCGGAACGAGACCCCCTAAATCACGTGCGATTTATTTACGGCTTACGCGAGTTGATCGTACACATTCGGATGGCAAACGATCGGTTATTTTAACTAAAACATACCAATCTTTTGTCAAAAACTTATTTGAATTTGGCTTCATGTCTACTTCCGATCGATCAATCCACATTTCCCAGTTTCACTCCCTAATTATTATAAATTTGGTTTGAACATTTTCAAATTTTCAAACGTTGATTATTCTGATTATAATAAGAAATCTTAAAATGTGGACTGATCGATCTCAAAAAGACATTGTAACAAATTCGGATCGGTTTTCAGAAATATTATCGCATAATTAGATTGGACTGTAGAATTGACAAAAAGTACGTACATTTTGTCAAATAAAACATTACGTTCTGTATCGTTCATGCGCGTGACGCGGTTATGGTAACTTGTACGTGCGCGTGCCGAAGCTATGCTGATCGCATGTCGCGGACTCAAATTGAATGAATTCGTGGTTCCGCGATTGATAAATTATGAAACCTGAATATAATCTGTGATAAAACTATAAGATATAGAGATATATCGTACATGGCATAATGCTATTATGGTACATTTATAGTAGCCTGAAATTTATTTAGTTTTTGACATTGTTTTCTTCTTTTGGAAACGTATTTCATTCACGAACGACAATCCAAGTTTAAAGGTTTTAAATGTATTTTAAATAAATATTTATTAATATTTGTAAAGAATAAAATTTATTCAGTACATATAATAGTCGGGTCGTCTTACAATACGCACCGATCGCTATTGCAAAATTTCCCTACAATCGTCTGACACGTAATCATAATAATATTATATTATAATATATACTATAAAAGCAAGTTCCAATTTTTTGTAATCATATAAAAGTATATTTTATAAAAAATGTATTTATTATAGCTTAAAAATTGTATTATAAAAATTATGTTTCCAAACATGTTTAATTATATTTATGTAACATAATAATAACAAAATAGGTAGTGTAATTATGTAATTAGGGATAAAATATGCACTAAAAATGCATATATAGTTAAATTAATCGGTATTACTTGAAACACATATTCTTCTTACGGACCTATGTGTTGGGACATCAGAGAAAAAGATGCGTTTGCATCAAAGCCCTAGCCCTAAATATGGCATGCTACTGCATGGGTAAATGTACGGGGTGCTGCCGCGAGTTACATCCATGTAACTACAATATCACGCAGGGGCGTAATTACGGGGGGGATATGGGGGATAGATCCCCCCCATGAGCTGTATTTATATATTGACTTATACCTACAAATGGTTCAAATAAAAATTTATAAATTATTACGAAACTAAAAAAAAAAAAAGTTTAGAAGTTGTGTATACTTAAATATTACCCGTATATAAATATTTACCCGTTAACGATAAGCATGATTTCAAAATAAATGGTCTGATTCATTTTAATTCTTATTTATTAATAAACATTGGGTTGTCATACACTGTACCTAATTATGAATAGATAATAGATGGTAAGTTAAGTAATCCGATAATGGAAAAACCATCATTCCATAAACATAATATAATAATAAAAATGTAACTTCAAGATTTTCATTTCGTAGAATGAATAATAGCCATAGATAGTAGGTACTAAGAACGCGCGCCGACACAAAGTATCTACATTGATTATTGCGATTACGTATAAACAGTAAATGCTACACAGTAGGTATACACACCGTGTCATTCTCTCATATTCACAGTGTCAATTACATTTTTATAAGTTAAAAGCAAAATGGAGCAAATAAAAAGAAAACTACCAGCAACTAGCAGTACTTTATTGAATTTTTTTAAAAAGAAGCCTGGGCCTGACATAAGTATTACAATTTAAAATACTAAACATTATTAGACCCGGAATTAAATGTTTAAATATTATGTATGACGTATTCAACTTATTATAATTAGCATTACAACTTGCGCTAAAATTATGCAAAATTAAATTAACACCAGTTAAAAAAAGTACCTATTAGAAATATAATTGCAGTCACCGCAGTTTATTCAATAACTATTAGTTATGTCATATTAATTATTATAAAACATTTAAATGAGTTGATTAAAAAAAAAAATAGAATTTAAAAATGTATGATAATATTATAATAATAATTAATAATACCTAACTAATATTTAAAAACAATTTAATTCGATTTTACCTATACATATTCTTGTTTATTATTTAAGGAAAACATAGAGAAATCTGATGATGTATCACGTGAAAAATATCATGTTGAAAATAAAAATTTGATTCAAGCTGTCCAAGAAACAAATAAGGTACAGTACCTATTGTTCTATCGTTCTATGGTATTATACCTGTAGCTTGACTCCTGCCTGCTAACATTGCATTAAAATTAATAAATTAGATTGTGCTTCGTAATTTTTTAGAGGGAACATTTTGATGCTCGTAAAAATGACATTGCTTTGTTTATTAAACGTGATTTATTATCAGACGAAGAAAAAAATACTGTAAGCTTTTCGAATGCTAATGCCTTATGTCAGATTTAGTCTGAACTATAGTTAAAACCTACCAATATATCATAATATAATATAAACTAAAATGTAATTGTTTTTATTATTTTTTGTCTAAAACCTGTAAGTACTTACCAATTTATGGTTACCAAATCATAATTACGTATTTCCATTAAATGAAAAAACAAAAAGAGGTTTAAAATTTCAATATAAATGGCTGAACGAATTCAATTGGCTTGTTTATTTGGAAGTTGAAGGTGGAGCTTATTGTAAGCATTGTGTTGTTTTTGCAAAAACCGGTGGAATAGGAAATCAATCTTTATAATATTTGGTTAGTGAAGTATTTGATAGTTGGAAAAAAGCTAAAGAGGTATTATTGAATATATTAATGTTTTAACTTTTAGTCGCTTATAATTTAATATTATTTTAATTTTAATTTTATTTCCCTGTGAATACATGTTATTATATTGTTATAATTTTAATTAAATGATAGGTATTTCGAAATCATTCTGCATTAGAGTACCATACATTTTCTGTTTTGAAATCTGATGAATTTTTAAAAATATATTTAAAAAAAGAGCCAACTATAGTAGAACGAATGGATACAGATAGGTATTTAATCATTTATTAGCTTAAGTCTGCAAGTATGTACTTGCTTTGATATTTTTTTTTGTTAAAAAATTAAACAAATGAAGGCGAATAGAGAGCGACTAGAGAATAGAGAGCGACTCATTCCAATCATTGATTGTGTCATACTTTGTGGTCGTCAAGAAATTGCTCTACGAGGGCATAAAGATTATGGAAAAATTGATAGTATATTAAAAATATTTATAATGTTATAGCATTACATATTATATAATAATGCTACCATTCAACTCAACCTTAATATAAATTTTTCATATTATAGTAAAATGTTCATTAAATCAAGGCAACTTTAGAGCCATATTAAAGTATAGAGCATATGGTGATGAAATATTAAAACATATCATTACAAGTGAAGGACGAAACAAATACCTAACTCCTCAAATCCAAAATGAAATCATAACGGCATGTGGGGACATTATGCTGCGAAAAATAGTTAAGAATGTAAATGCTTCAAAATGTTTCTCAGTTTTAGTTGACGAGACTACTGATATTTCTACTATTGAACAAACGGCTATGTGTGTTCGATATGTTGACTATAACGATTGTATCCATGAGAGATTCCTGAAATTTATTACTATTAACAGTTTAACTAGTTGTGATTTAGCTGAATCAATACTCAACGTTAAATTAAAATAATATTATGTTTTTAATAAATTAATAATTGTATGGTTATTATATTTTGTAAATAGGTCTGAATAGTTGTGAAATTAATTTAGATTACTTATATGGTCAAGGATATGATGGTGCAAGCAACATGTCTGGCCAATATAAAGGTGTTCAGGCAATTATCAAAAAAGAATATTCTAAAGCTATATATGTGCACTGTGCAGCACACTCTGAACTTAGCAGTATCAACTACAAGTGGAATTCAACCAATTAGAAACTGCTTAGGTATTATCGAAAAGTACTATGTCTTCTTTAATACACCAAAACGCCAAAATGTTTGTTTAACCAACATTGAAAATAGTAATGAGGATCCTAAGGTTAAAACTTTAAAAAGATTATGTGCTACATGACGGGTGCAGCGTTAATATACGGTAACAGATTTCATTGAACTATTTGCATTTGTAATTGAATCATTAGAAAATATTTCTAATTGGAATGATTCCACAGCAACGGAAGCTAATATACTATTAAAAGCTATTGATTCAGAATTTCTTATATCCTTACAAGTTATACAAGTAAATAGTAATTAATAAATATAATTTATTTTATTTTATAATAAAATATTTTTTCAGTTGATTTTTTCTTTTGGTTTACCATTGTGTAAGTTGCTACAAAAAGAACAAATTGATTTGAGAGAAGCAGTAAGCCTTGCTGAAGATATTATAAATGTATTAAAAAATATCAGATTAAATTGTGATACTGAATTCCACAAATTGTTTTTGCTTGCAAAAGTAAGTATACTAAAATAAAGTATATTATTATATGAATTATATGAAAAGAATTATGTTTATATTTGACATTTGTAATAGGAGATGTCAGTAATTATAGATATAGACTTGAGTACCAAAAGAATATCTAAACAACAAGTAAATCGAGCAAATCCAGATCCCAATTTAAGTGTTGAAGAATACCACAAAGTGTCAGTATTTATACCCTACCTGGACTTGTTTATATAACAACTAGGAGAAAGATTTTCAATCCATTCTGAAATTTTTAAAGATACCCATATTAAATTAAATCATTATTATCATTTTTAATTGGTACCTAGTTTTTATAAAATTAAAAACAAATCACTGAAATAAAATATTCATATAATCAATCTATATTATTAAATTCAACCTTTAATAGTTTATGTATAATGTATATATGTCATATTTTATAGGATTTCAAAGTCTATTTTCCTATACATTAACTTCTAATGAGGAGGTATCATTTAGAAAATTACTTGAATTTTATTTACCTTCTTTGGATGTGAACAACTCGATTGCAGAATTGAAATTGTGGAAGGTAAAACTTGAGCGAATAAACAATATTCCGAAAACTGCAATTGAAGCATTACATGTGTATAATGCCAATATTTATCCAAATGTGCATTTTATTTTAAAAATACTATACATACTTCCTGTTTCTACAAGTACGCCTGAAAGAATGTGTTCCAGTCTTAAAAGGATAAAAACGTCTCTTCGAAACAGTATGTCTGAGGTTAGTAATTATAATAGCTGTGCACTTGTGCTTAATAAAATACATTTTCATAATATCTAATGAGAAAAATGTTTTAATTTTTTTTGTAGAAAAGACTTAATGGTCTGGCAATGTTGGCAATTCATAATGATATTACATTTTCAAATGAAGAGGTCATTGATGAACTTGCCAAAAAGCCTAGGAATCTGGACATAATATTGTAAAATATTAAAACATTTTAAAACATATTTGTAAATGTATAATGTTATGTAATATAGAATGATTATATTTACATGTGTTGAGTTATTAAATTATACAAAATATAGATAAGGGGTGTGTGGGCCGTGGGGGCAAAGGCCCCCCACAAGTTTACCCTACAAATTTATTTTGATCCTCCCCATCAAACATTCTCAGTTACGCCACTGAATACGTATAAAGTACTTATATTTTTAACAAGATTATATCTTGAAAACTTAATTTTCCGTGATATAATTAAACAAATTAAATTCAAAAAAATAAATTTTATTTCCTACCCATCAAAACGTAACTTTTAATATATTTGCTGGCTACATTGAGTAATTACTCTATGACCAGCTGGCATGCTTGTAACCATTACAAATCACGCTCTCGTTAGATACAAAAATAGATACAACACTTTCTTGCATTGAATACGGATATTGCTAGTTTACAGCCATCTGAATTCGAGAATTCGATACAAAATAATATTATCAAATCAGAGTTGGATAATAATAGAATTATTTTCCGTGACCACAATCAAAATAATGTATGCGTGAGTATAGAATTTAGTGAAGTTATTAGTTACTTAATTAACTACTACGTAGTCATGGTATATGGTCAATGAAAAAATCATTTTTCGGTTCAAAAATATTAGATACATCCATTTTATTGTTCAGTGATCCACGCTAAAAATTGGTTTGTTCATTTGTGTTTGATATATTGTATCTTATAAAACATATTTTCATCAACGATCAACAATCTCAGTCGTACAAAAGACTGCTGTCAAGTACAGATTACAGTTGAAAGGTATTATTTAATTAATTTCATTGTTTTCTAATTAAAATATATTTTTTTATATTGTTTTAATAATAACTATTGCTAAAGCGTATAGTTGTGCATGATGTTGTTTTAAAACTAGATATTTTACTTCACGTATGAAGTAATTTTATTAGACCTGTTGGTTTTACTCTAAGATTTGTTTAATTTATTCAATAGTAAAGTTTTGCCTCCAGAGTCGTTTTATATTCATCCATCTACTGTTAAATGAAATTACTCAGAATTTAATTTATAAATAATTATATTAAGGTTATAAATAATATTTTTTTGCGAGACTATAATTATATAATTAAATCAATTATAAGTAACTAGTAATTATTTTTAAAACAACATTTTTGCCCCTCAAATTTTGGCCTTACCTATCCCCCAAATTGATGGTTAATAAATAGTAATTACATAATTTAACTATAGATCCCCTGTATTAATTTATGTTACTTATAAAAAAATTGTATTTCCAGAAATATTTATTTATTCAATTAATAACAACTATGGAAGCTAGTCTTAAACCAGTAGTAAGTATTAAATGTTGTATAATTTAAAATATTTGAAATTCGATGTAATTATTAATAATATTAATCATACATACAACAATTATTCAATCTTACTAAAAATGTGTATTATAAATTTATAAATATATGTCTAAGTTTATAAAATACAATTTATTGTACTGTTGTATATTTTTTTTTAAGATATGTTTCATTTTATTGAATTAATCTTATTCTTAGAAAATATTTAGAATTATTTTTTTAAACGATTTTACTTTAGGAAATATTTAATTTGGTACGATCAATTGTCCAAAATGTAAATATTAACAATTTTGATAAAATGGCACACACAATTATTTCCATACCACTGAAAACAATTTATATATTTGAAAACATAGTGGATATAATTTATTTTCGGGTATATAAATATTATTAATAATTATAATAGTTATTAAATTTGTTGTTTTACTTATCTAGGCTTTAAATAGACCCGATTTTACAGTTTTATATGCAAAGTTATGTGCATACATGGCCAATCATGCTGCATTTAACAAACTTCACAATTCTAAAACTACTTTTCAGAAAGTTTTAGCACAAAAAATCTTTGATATGTTCACCTCATATTACACTCGTACTCCTCAGAAAGAAGTACATAAATTAAAAAAAAATTTTTTGAACAGTAATATGGTAAATAGTTATAATTTGTTAATATAATAATAGTATTTTTGTGATTATACCAGATTTTATAATATAATCTATAATTATTAGTCTTAAGTCATTTCAAGCTTAAGATAAATCTCAGTACTGATACTTGCATAGTTAATTTTTATTTATAAATAAACTGATTTGTATCATTTTAAATCAAGACTTATTCATACATAATATGATTTAGGTACCCAAATGTATATTATATAATTAACAATAATAGATAATAATGAAACTGACTTGAGTAGAATTACTCAACCAAACTACTAAAACTTAACCATTCTTATTTGCCTTTGACTAAAACCATATTATATTCAAATACATTTTCCACCAATTGATAATATATATTTTTTAATTTAATTATCAAATAATATAAATATTTTATATCTGTTATAGACCCCATCTTTTTTCAAGAATATATTGAATAGTTTTCATTTCCAATATTATAAAAGGTCTTTAGCCCATTGCAAGTATGTTTTCAAGTAAAATTAATTAATAATTTGTATATATTGTACGAAATAATATTTTTATAGATTTATCGGTGAATTATTCAAACAAGGGGCTTTTACCGAAAAAAATATATTGTCGTTCATTCACGAATTAATGAAAGTAAAAGATATTCTGAATATTCATTGCTTATGTATAATATTACAAATAGCAGGACAAAAATTATCAAAAGTAATAACCAAAATAGTAAAGTATTAGGAAATTATAGAATAAATAATCTCTTATTTCATTTTTTTAGACTCATAATTTGGACGGTATAGTACAACATATTTTATTATTTAAAAATGAAAACACTGTCCTCATAAAAATGTCACCAACTCTTCAGTCTTTGATATTCAAAATACAAAACTTGCATTTAAAATGTTGGATACATGAAGGTAATAATGTCAATTTTCAAATTATACTGTATAAATATTATTATTCATTAGAAAAAATGTACTATTAAGTTACTATATTATGCATTTATTTTAACAATTATTTATTATTGCATAAAAATTTATACTAATACAAAATTACAAAATAATTTTATCCTATTTTATAATATACAATTTGAATTTTAAAATTTTAAGTTATGCATTTTATTTATGTTTGGCAGTTATACAAAGTTGTAACATTACTTTCAAATTGTATATTATAAAATAGGATAAAATTATTTTGTAATTTTGTATTAGTATAAATTTTTATGCAATAATAAATAATTGCTTTTAAAAATTGTTCTTAACAATGATCAGTTTGCAATAATGATTCCTTCAAATTTTCATAACGAAGACATCAAAATCGTATTTTATTAAATTAAATAAATAATATACAAGATAGGTACATGATATCTTCTGAACAGTTTTAATTTAATATATTTTTGATTAAATCTAAATAACATAATTTATTAACTATTTTAATAACTAATTTTTTACAGAACCTCTTAAGTTAATTGAGGACAATGAACACTATATTTCCTTTGAAAATTTGCCTGAGCAATTAAAAAAATTATATGATCTTAAATCATATACAGTAATGGCCCAATGTATTATTGATGAATGTATGGCTGTTCTTAACGGTTTTGACAAGATAAATATCAATGTATGTAGTAGGTTTATTTATTTTATTATCAGTATTTTGAATATAAGAAAAAATAAAATAAGAAGAAGAATATATTTTGATTATTGTACTACTATTAGATTGTTGTTATGAAGAAAAACAATAAATAATTATTCCACATTTTTTATAACTCATCAAATAAATCTACTAAAACATCCTAGATATCGATCATCAGAAACTTGAAATTTGAAATATCTATTGCGTACTAATATTAAACTTTTTTTTTACATAAATATCTTAAAATATATAATTATTTAACCATCAAAGTTTATATTATTATACATTATAATACCAATAACTTTTTGATTACATCTTATGTTTATTTATTTGAAAATGTTTACAGGAAATAGTACATTCGTTAAAATATATCAACTCGTGGATACATTACGATCAAGTGTCATTCGTTGCTTCTATGATACTTATAACACTAAACGAAGACCAAAGTATTCGCCATAAGGCTGGTATACTTTTAAACTTATTTATTAAGAAAGGCTTGTTATTAACTGATTCGGTTTTATCGGGGTAAATACAATAATATAAATTTTCTGTATTGTACATTTTATTAATTATTATTTTATTTTATTTCATATATTAGAATTGACAAAATAATGGATGACTCAGAATTGAAAATAGAACTTCCAAGATTATCAGATTTATTATTTGTCATCACTAGTAGGATTACATATCTGAATTAATTTTGTATAACTTAATTTATACTGTTTTGTATTGTATATTTTAATTGCTTTTTACTTGAATTACTATTTTTAAATCGAGGTTTTGTCCAAAATTTTTTTTTGAGTTATAATACAATTTTCGTTGGTCTAAATGTGAAATAAATTATTATTGTTAAATAATCCATATTTTAGTCATTACTAATCTTTAATTTCGCATTTTTTGAATATTTTTGGCATAATAATCAAAAATATTCAACTGCTTACATAAACAATAAATTGAATTATTAATTTTTTTTTTTTTTTGAGATTTCACATGTCTCGGTTTTTATCATTTTTGTTGCTTGTGTCTCATAGGCATTCTTGGCTGCGATAAATTTCTATAAACTTAATCACAACAGTCGATCAAACATGATTAAATTTGTCATCGTTTTTATTTTATTAGTTAACTAATCAATCTAAAAAGTAAAATAATAAAAGCACAAGTTTAAATTAAGGTATATATTTAAAAAAACCACAAAATAAGAATATATCATAATAATCGACATGAACGGATTCATACAAGTTTCGAATGTTTGATAAAAATAAACGCCCAAGAGATATGAAAAACTATCTACATTTGTTGATACTTTAAAAAGCCAATTATCGTACCAAATAATCTCGACATGTGTGAACAAAAAAAGCAGAGCTTATCGCTTTCAAAAATCACCATGCATTCTCGAAAACCGCGTGAGTTATTATCATGGTGTAAATAATCATGATATGACTCTCGAACAAAAAATCTTGTATTCGATAATCGCATGGAAGATGCTCGAATGGTATAATGGTAGGTACGAGAAATGAGAAACTCTTTCCGTGTAAATCCGTTTAGACTTATTGAAGTATTAACATTTTTAAAATATAAATAATAGTACACCAGATAAGAATAGTATTAATTTTATAATCGACTAATTTACTGTATAAACTGATATACCTACCTACATATTGTAAAATTATAAAAACCTATTTGATAATAGAAATGAAATCGATATTCGGCAGGTCGGTCGACGGGTGGAAGAATAATAATATATATCAACTGAAATTATAATATATTTTTTTTTTTTAATACAAAACTATATGAAATCTTGGAGTACTGAGAAATCAAGTGTGCTGTACTCTGTGCTTAGAAATAATATATGATAGATTTTATTCAACTATAACTACCTTGACTTATATCACTTAAAGCATGGGAAAATGTTAGTGCACAAACCATCGTGAATTGCTTCAGAACTTGTGGTTTTATTAAGGATGGACAGAAAATTGGTGAAGGTATTCCTGTTCAAAGTGAGGAGGTTGAAGTTCTGCTTAACACATAAAACAGACTAGAAGTTCCCGTATCATTTGAAGAATTTGTTCACTTTGACGATAATGTCGCAACTGCTGGTACTTTTACTGACGAGGAAATTATTCAATCCACTTCAGTCAATCAGCACAATTCTGACAATGATGACGAGGAAGAGGAGGCGGAGGTTCCTGTCATATCGTTAAAAGAAGCAACATTTTTTATGTCAGGATTACGTCAATTTTTTGAACAATCTGAAATGGACGAAAAAAGATGCGATACAATTTTCAATGCTATAATTAAGTTAGACAATGCTATGGACCAGATTGCGACCAACAATTTTTCACAAAAAAAAATAACAGATTTCTTTAATATGTAATATGTATATAAAATATAATACTATGTATGTGTAATAAATAAATATCAATTAATAATTTTAAAATGTACATAATTATATTCATAATAAGTTAATGTCAAAATAAACGTTATATATATATATATATATATATGTATATACAATGTATTTTATTTATTAATTTTTTTCCTTCGATTATTCGAACACTCGGTAAATCGAAAACCTCTATAAATCGAATTTTTAACTCGGTCCCCTGAATTTCGAATTATCGAATGACTACTGTATAATGTGCGATTTGATTAATAAAAAAAAACTGTAACTAGAAATTATAATCATATGGAAGGGAGTAAAAGAGAAGCTCTGTATCATATAATTGTTTATTAAAAAATGTGTGGTACAAATTTTTATGAAAAATAGGGGTTGCTTTCGACGCACTGTGCAGGCACCTGGATTTTTATAATGGTGCGTTTTGATTTACTTCGATGAGGTTCCATTCATTATTCGGAGTAGTATAAATAGAATTATGTTAAAACCATAATACACGGTGTTTCAAAAGTCTTCATCCAATTACGAACTAATATAGTTCGGCAACGGTTAATCACAGGTTAATGACCGATGTATTTATGGAAAGATTAAATAACTAAGTTTATTTTAAGTTATCTAGTTGATAAATTTAGTACTGCAATGGTTAGTGAACTAGGAACCGTTAGTTTGTTTCGTTATAACGACTCCGCAACAAAAAGCGTTTTGCGTCTTACGTTTCAATAAGTGCGATTCGGCATTAACCGTTCAACGTGATTTTCGAAGAACTTAGGGAACTGAAGCTCCTACGGCACAAACGTTCCAAGAAAGTGGTTGTCTGTGTGCATCGAAACACTCAGGTCGATCTCGTACCTCTGACGAAAACATTGAGCATGTTCGACTGTTTCGTTCGAAGTTCATCCCTGGCCACCACGTTCCCTTGACCTCACAAAGTGTGATTTTTTTTATGGGACTACATAAAATATAAAGTGTATGTACCACCATTACCTACAAACTTGGAAGAGCTTAAAATCAGAATCAAAGATGCTGTCAATGCCGCGACACTAGAAATTATCAGCAACATTTAGGAAGAATTTGATTACCCTATAGATGTATGTCGGGCGGCCGGTGGAGGTTATATTAAACATTTGTAACTAAAGTAAATAAAACTTGACTATTTTAAGAATATATTTTACTTTATTTCACCCTTATATCTTCATTTTTAATATAATTATAAATTTTTGAAATTGGATGAAGACTTTTGATACACCGTGTATAATAGGCTTTTAACTTATATCGAAACATGTGACAACATATTTTATAGAACTCTTAACCATATAATATATTACATACATTTTGAAAGTCGTTTCAAGAACCCCTCCCCATGATCAGTGGTATAGCTGGAGGGGTGGTAACCAGTGTTCGAATTGAGAAAAATTAAGTAGAGGAGCTACGACGTCTAACGATTCGAAAACTGCGTTCCACGTGCGCAATTATTTAACACAGACCCGTAGGGGGCTTCGTCCCTCACCCCTACCTTCCGCCAACCTTTCATATATTTTGAATACCACATTTCAGCTAAACAAATATTTTAATTCCAAATATAATATATTTTGATAGCAAAACCAACATCCTACATGTTACAATAGAAAATAAAAATAAAATAATAATTAACATAATTATAGGCGATCAGGCAGTTTCGTGAATGGAATGATAAAATCATATATTTTTACTCTTTAGTGCGGGCCATGGCCGAAGATTAGTCGTAGTGCGGGCATTTATTTTTTTCCGAAATGCCGATATCGTGTCGATCGCCAATATTAATAACAAACCGTACAATGTATAAAGTATAATACACCAAATACACAGACATTACTATTTATATTTTTCCAGAAATGACGACGTTGTCCCTTATCATAACCACCATATAATCTTTTATTATGAAAATAGATAATATAATAATAAATATAATAGTATAATAAATAGATAATATAATAATGAAAATAGAATTTAATATTATAAATCGTAAAATTCATTTTCAAATTGACGTAAATTGAAATTCACATAAAAATTATTTTGGACATCAATTAGGATGAACGTGGCGTCCTCCGTTCCGGTGAAAAAATATAGTTGGGGTACGCAAAAAAAAAAAAAAATAGTAGAGAGGCTCCGTCCCCCTGCGCACCCCTCCAATTCGAGCACTGGTAGTAACAGTTAATAACTTCTCGAAATGTATGGTTGGTACGGCTTACGTGGGAATTTATTTTACCCTACAACGCTGTACAGTAAAAAAAAAATTGCAGACATATTAATAAAAATTCAGCTTAATATAATGTAGTACAATACGAGTATACGTACGTAAAGGTACGTTAATACATCGATTAAATATACTTAATATATAACTTTTTTAACCCCCCCTCCCCCAAATTATTCATGTATACGCCACTGCACATGATTACACCACTTTCTCTGTATACGTAGGTAGATATACCGTCTACACTATTAAAATGGATATCGGTAGCGATTTGATTAACTATTTTTATTTCCCATATATAAAGTTTTTAGTTAAATAAAAATGTATTTAAATATTATTTGTTGAATTCCCTTTGTTGTATAAGCTATTTAACACTTAAACTTACAATCAGTAAGTAGTATGATTTTTTAAATGAATCAACTCGCAGATATAACTCTAGATATTATTTTTTAATTAATTAATTTTTTAATTATTTTATATATATCATTGAATCCTACGCTTTTAGTTTATTTATTTTAATTAACATATTACTGCTTTAAAAAAAAGGATCACAAAACTTTACTTAGGATTATTACTGAATGACTTTCTTTTTGACAAATTTGTTGACTTTTTTATCTACTTACCAAAATAAATCACTATGAAATCAGTAAAACTTTCTCATTCCCTTTAAATATATACATATATTTATATTAGGGATAGGTCGAACTGAAGTTTTCACAAACTCGAACATTTTTTCTCAAACTGTTCGAATTTGAACTTGTTGGTACTGCGAATTATTTTCGCTCTTTCGAATTTTGAAAAATTGAAACATTTAAAAGTTAATACTTAAAAATTTGAGTTTTAACTAACTATGTATGACAAAATAAAAAGTTTAATATTATAATAGAAGTAAAATTATTAAGTAATGTTATTATTTAAAACTTATTTCTAATTACTATATAACTTGTTAGTTATTAATTTATATGTTTTTATTAAACTAACTTTATGTATTATGTTCGAATTCGAACTTGCATTTTTCTCGAACTTCGAATTGTTCGAATTTTTTGAAGTTCGAGGTATTCGAGGGTTTGAAATATGGGAGAACCCACCCCTTGTATATATGTATATATTCACTAAAATAAAAATATCTCTAAATATTAATAATAACATTTTTATCGACTTTTAAAAACATTTTTTTTTTTAATATTTTTTAAGAATTTAAAATGTATTTTATTTATATATAAAACAATGATTTAATAACAATAATAAAAAAAAGTCCCTTATAATTTAAAATTTTATTTATACATAGTTTTAAATTTTAGTTATACTAATTATCAGTTAATCGTTCAAAATAAACAACTAATTCACAATGTGGTGTTTGTGGAAACATATCAACTGGAATAGCTTTCACCGGTACAAATGGAGCCCCTTGTTTAGTTTTAGATTCAACCATGGATAAAGATATAAAGTTTTGCAATGCTGCTTTTGGATTGCAAGACATGTACACTAATCGTTTCAAATGTGTAATCTTTCGTAAGAGCAATATTGCTTTGTTATCTAAGATTCAAAAAATTATCAATGAAATTGAATTACCATCGTTTTAAAAAATTAATTTAAAAGATTTCTCACGCAGTCCTGCTCTGGGAGGGTCAACAATGGCCACAACATCATTAGAATTTTCTGGAAACTGAAATTCTCGTCTATTCATTACTTCTTCAGCTTTTCCTGCAAAAAATTGGACATTGGTGATTCCATTTTCAATAGCATTCAATTTTGCCATATTCACTGCTTCTTGTTGAATTTCAACTCCAACTACTTTAGCACAGTCCTTAAACATTTAAAAGTATTAAGCTGAGTTTAGCAAACATTTTACATGGAATTTAAAAAAAATATTTTAAATACCTTGGCTAAAGATAGACCTATTGTACCAGAACCACAACATACATCTAAAACAGTAGTCTGTGAATTAATGGAAGCTAAATTTTTAGCAGCGTCGAACAATATTTCAGAAGCAGCTGTGTTTATTTGAAAAAACGATTCTGGTGAAATTCTTAATTTAAGACCTTTCACCTCTTCAATTATATAACCCTGTCCATGTAATAGTTCTAAAGGAAAAGAATTTCCTTCACCAGCACTGAAAAATATTTGTATATCATTGATCATTGTATCATACGACTGTTAAGATAATAATATAGTAGTAAATTAAGAATAGAAAAAGTCAACTAATTCAATTTTAAAAAGATATTCAAAAAACATTTCTACTAAAAAAATAAAATATAGGATTTGAAAGCTATTGTAATTTTTGGAAAAATACATTAATATTATGGAATATTAAAACTAAGCCTTTTAAAAAGTCATGATTATGATAATCATTATACTAGGGAAAAAAATGAATTATTACATAGAATATTATGTAAATATTAGGCATATATATACATATATATATATTCGCTATTGTATATTAATAGGCAGTTACTCCTAATTTTTAAAATCATATCATAATACGACAGTCATAAATTTTAATCAACTTATTTATTATTTTATTTCTTATCTGTATCTATGAGTTATTTTACGATGAAACTAAATATATATATCAGTCAAATTACAATAAAAACTGCTACTTATAATTATTTAGATAATATTATTGGGATATAGAGGCTAGAAGGTAGAATAATAGTGATTTACATATTTAGTTATTTGTTCAACCTTTTCTATTTTGTTTAATTATAAAATTTTCAACTTTTGGAATATTCCTCTATGATAAAATTATTTCATTCTTAAAACAATGGTAAATGATATTCCATTATGCCATATATTTTTTGTTTTTGCCATTGAAATTAAAAAAAAAGACAACTATATAATTATTATATCTTAATTATTAAAATGAGCCTCAGTACCCAATTTAAGAGGAGAGCATTTTCTGACTACAAGACCATTAAATCAGCTACTGCAAACTATATATAATGGTAGACATTTAGTTTAAGCTGATTCAAAATAATAAAACTAATCGTATCTTCAAAGTAGGATTTTGATAGGGTTTTTTTTAGAAAATAATCAATAATAAGTAATAAATAATTATAAATATTCTTACGCTCGTTTCTTCGCCTTTTGAAAGAACAAAGAATCTACTTTACATTCAGATCCAGCACCTTTAGTAAAATAATTTAAAATTAGTTTTTTTAATGATTCAGAGGCTGATTCTTCCATATTCTCAGTATGAACTACACAAATCAACATTAACTGTCCAGTTTTTAAACTTAAACGAACAGTTAATTGGCGCCAATGACCTGTGTATGTTTCAGGATCAAATACAGGAATTTGAGAAGACCTAACTAAATCTTGAAAACACTAAACAACAGAATTCATAAAATATTACAAGCATATTATTAAGGAGAGTTTAATTTTATATAAAAACTTACATTGACTACTTCTTTCATTCGTTGAGGAACATTAGAAATATTATCAATTGGGGCTACACAAGTTTTTCCTTGAATATAAGCACCAACCCGAAAACCAACAACAGGTTCTTTATTTTCTACATCCATGCCTAAAATAACAAAAAATTTTATATAATATAAATTAAAATAGCATTTATTCACTAGTTACATTAATAGCTATTAAATATTCAGAGTGTAAATAACTATAGTTATTTACACTCTGAATGTTAAGCAATTGTTCTAATGCTATAAATACAACATACCAAGATTAAGAATCATCAAATTTAATGTTAGGAACTAATTTTTAATATTATTACAATATACAATTAAATTTATACAATTTCTATAATTAATTTAAACTGATCTTTTCTTTTATCTGTAATTAATATGTAAAATTACCTATAGTAAATTCACATTTATTTCTATAACCAACACATTTTTTTGAATCTTCTTTAAGGCTTTGTATTTCTAAGAGTTCACAAGGAAGACCATTATTTGCTTCTTGTTGTTTTTTTAACCAATAGGTAAGATTTTGATTACAATAGGTACGTTTTAAACGTTTAACATACTCCAAAAGTACATCCCTGATAGAATCGGTTTTCTTTACTAACTAAAACAATTAAAATCCATTAGATAAAATTAATTTTATTTTATTTAAAAAGAAAATAATAAATGTTTTAAAAAAAAAATATTAAATTAAATATTGTTTCCATCGAAGAAAAAACTAATTTGAAACTAAATAATTAACTATAATTATTAACCAGTGGCGCAACCTGGATTGATTTGGGGGGGGGGGGAGCATTGTGAATTTGGAAAAAAATAAGCATTTTCTGCAGGTGTTTGGTAGGGATAAGAAAGTAGGATAAAGTTAGGTTTATGAGTAAAATATTTAAATTACCAATTAAACTAACTTCTATTTCATATTGTGAAGCCACAAAAAAAAAAAAAATATTATACAATCGAGTATCGAGAAATCGTAGTAGCAAGGTTACTGATGTTTTTTAGTTGAACGGAACGTTACAAAACATTCCATATTGTCATGTAATTATTGTTATCAATTAAAATACGAATAATATTCATATTTCATATTAATCAGCTAGTCTTCAAGATATACCATTTTTTTTCCTACATAAAATTTGTAATAACCTCAGAAAAATTTTGGGAGGTCCACAACCTCCAATTACCTCTTTTTGTGCCACTACTATTAACTATATAATAATTAATATAACTAATTTAGTTATATTAATTATTTATAAATTGTTCTTACTTGTTCTTCATAAGGTATATTAAAAAAAGAAGTCACAGCATTTATCATCTGTTTTTCAGCACCAGCATTGTCCAACTTAATTTTTTTTTGGTCAGGGTAGTCGCTAAATTCTTCATTACGTTTTTTTACTAATGGGTCAGGAACAGCTTTAGCATTCTAATAAATTATTGAAAGACAAAAATTAAATCCGTTAAAAACAAAAACTTATATCTTATTTACTTACACTAGCATTTAGAATAGTATTCTTCCAACTATATCCATTTAAAATATCTAAAGCTGTATTTTTGTCTTCTTCTGAACGAAAACACATATAAATCCATTTGCCTTTACGATTTGGCATTTTAACTTTAGAGCAATTTAATTTTAATTTTAAATTGATTAATTTCTTGAACTCCTAAAAAATATTTTTCTTAGTAGACATACAATATTAATCTAACAATATTTCAAGTATGATACAACTTACAGCAATTCCATAGTGTTTTGGAAGATTCCTTATTTCTACCTTGTACTTTTCCGATGTAAAATCATTACGATCTAAGTAGGCAAATGGATCTTCTTTTCCTATAGATTCATCTGCATCTTCTTTTTTTTTAGATACCACTACGTTTATGTTATTTGTAGGTTTCGATTCTTTTCCCACAGATTCATCTGCATCTTCTTTTTTTATAGATACTACTACGTCTACGTTATTTGTAGGTTTTGATTCTTTTCCCACAGATTCATCTGCATCTTCTTTTTTTATAGATA